TGCCTGCTGAGGTGTTTCCCTGCCTGCCCACCCCAGGCCAGTCTCGGAATGGTGCCCGTGGCCCGGGCAGAGCTGTCGGGTGGTGAAGAGGCTTCTGCAGGCTCCGGGTGTTTGCCAAGTCGGGCTCCAAGAAGTGCAAGCACAGGTCTGGTCCTGCCGGGTCAGTTTTGCTTAGTTTGAAGGGTGTGTCAAGTGGTTTCATTCACATTTTAATGTTTCCAATGAACCTGGAAGGGTGGCAGGAGTTTGTTGGCAGATTTAGTATGTGAGATATCCCCAGTCACATTAATTCAACAACAGAATATGATGGAGGTGCTTGTCCCGTTCATCCCATTGAAGTGACATAGTAAGGCAGGGTCAAACTTGAGACATAAATACTTTGGGACAGAAACACTTGACATGGATGACAACTTTCGGGTTGTCATCAGCATCGTCATTTCTGTCGTCCCACTGGAGATTCACAGAAGCTCCAAATCAAGGAGAAACTATGAGCTGCTGAGGTAACACAGAGTTGGTTTTGATCCTTCTCATCTCTTGTTAAACAGGTGACAAGACAAAATTGCACGTATTTGGCAAATGGCATGACATTCCAAGGAAGCAGGTAACCTATGGAGACCCTGAGTTAACGTACACTTACTCAGGTGTTACCTTCTCTCCTAAGCCGTGGATCCCTGTTGTCAACCGTATCAGAGACCGCATCACTTTGAACACAGGACACACTTTTAATTTTGTTCTTATTAACAGGTATGGTCTGATTTCCAGTTGCATCAAGCAACTCATTCACATGAAAAATTGCTTGTGCAACACTATTGACAGATCATTGATGAGTTGTTTTACATTCAGTTGATTGGATTGGTTGAAGAACTAATTAATCTGTTCGGTGTACAGATATAAAGATGGTGAGGACCACATAGGTGAACATCGAGATGACGAGAGAGAGCTGGTTCCACGCAGTCCTATCGCGTCCGTGTCCTTCGGAGCTTGCCGGGACTTTGTTTTCCGGCACTGTGATTCCAGAGGGAAAAACGCCACGCGCCACATCAAGCCCATCAAACTGCAGCTCGCCCATGGCAGCCTGCTGATGATGAAGTACCCCACCAATGTGTATTGGTACCACAGCCTGCCCACCCGCAAGAGGGTACTTGCCCCAAGAATTAACCTCACATTTCGGAAAGTGATAACTGTAGCCAAGAGGTGAAATATTCAACAGTCAAGCACCAGGTCTTTTGACTCTGAAAATAGAAGCTTGCTTTCCCCATACAACTATCAGTTTCTTGTTCAAGCACTGTTTTGATGATCCAAGGTACCAGATGAGCAAATTAAACCAGGAGAGGACTTGGTACTTGGTAACTTGCTGATAAGGACTGTGACTACTGATCTTAAGTGACAAGAATACTTTTTCTCTGTGCAATGTTGCTCTAATCCTGCTGCTATGTATTTTTAATGAGTAATACTTTTTGCTCAGGAGGAAGTTTGTTCTCAGCTGATCTTTATCTAGCCAGTTTTCCAAAAAGATCAAAATCTTTTATCTTCCAGATAGCACTGAATATATAGTTTATAAATACTATAAAGTTGATAAATACTATAACATACAAGATGTAATCATTTAAAGTGAGCCTGGAAGCTGATGCTGTTCAACAGATGACTCTTTCTTGTATGCTCTGTCAATAAGCCATGGTTTGCTTGTTGGTTTTTTTTTTTGTAATAAAATACAAATGAGACTTGACATGAAAAAGAGGAGTGCCAAGATATGAATATAGTGAGTGCAGCATGGCTGGCTGCATGTTTTACAGTCACTGTGACTTGTGTCTGCTTACATTCCTCTGCTGCTCTGCCTCCTCTGCTGATGCATGGGGCTGGTTCTTTTGGTCAGCAGCATGGTAGGGTAGGAGGAAGCACGAGGTGCTGCCACACAAGAAGAAGGCCCCTTCTTCCTCCAGTCCTTTGTACAGAAACCAGGGAGCATAAGACGACCCTTTGGGACAAGAATGGGTTGTATCATGTATACAGACAAGAGTGTTAAGGCTGTAACTTCTGAGAGTGTCTGTTTTTCTAAATAGTTGTCCCTAGGCCTTCCATTCTGGTTTCCTGAAGGTCATCACCTTCCCTGCTGACAGTGAAGCCTGCTGAAACGAGGAAAGGGAAAGAGGATCCAAATTCTTTCAGAAGCAAGCAATGGTAAGTGCTGTGAATGTGAACACATTCACTAACGTGAAGAGCTTCTGCATGAATGCTTCTTATCCTGAAAATGCAACGTGCTGCTTCTGTCACATATACCAGATGTGGTTTGGCTCATTGCTTGGTCTTTGTTCCAAGACGTTACCACACGTGAACAGCTACTTTTTCTAATAAGTTTGTTCTTTTATTGCTAATGTACAGTTACAAAAATACCCTGAAGTGAAAACACAACTTCAAACAGCAGTGCAGTGGTTAGACTGTAATATCATACATTTTTAAATAATACACAAAATAAAACAAAAAGAAAATCCAAACACAGAGATGTCAGCTTGGGGGTCTTACCTGATGTTTTTTAACCTTTCACATTTTATTAACGCCTTCTCCACCATGGAAGCTTGTAACAAGTAACAGCGTTTGATGAGCCTCGTGTGCCTGCATGACTTGAAAAGGTGAGGGCTGAGTGGCAAACATCTGCAGAGGTTTCTGGTGCTCGCAGTAGGCTGGGAGTATCTAGAACAGCTCAGGACCAGGACTGAGGTGCTGACACTGCTGCCTTCCTCACACCAACGGCTCAGCCAAGACCGTTTGCTCCTTCCTAGCAGTGAAAGCTAGAACAAGCGCTGACTACTCAACCCTCAGCTTTATAGCCCTTGAGGAAGCTTTCAGAGTAAATCTGCAGTTGGGTGAAAATGAGCAGTTTATCAGTGTTGTACAGCGACTGTGCTTTCATTCTCATCAAACTGGCCCCTGCTGGAAAGCAGCTCTATGCAAACGAAAAATATACTGGACATTCAAGCTGGTAGTAAGATGTATTTTTATGTCCCTGTTAGAAGCTGAGGAGTTTAAGACTTGGTCCATTGTGTGCGTATGTTCTGACCCACCTCCAGCATTACCGCTTTCTAAACAGAGCGACCAGTTCAGGCAAGCCTCACAAAAATTCAAGAGTTTAAAAATTCTAGACAGACCTTGTTGAGTATAGATACTGCAGGGTATTCACTGCTGGCAGTGGAAATGGTTTGAAGTTCTGAGGTGCCAATGGTAGATGTGCTGGAGCTCGAGGCTGATGCTTTGCGTGATGGTTTTCCTCTGCTGACACCCAGCACTGCTTTACAGAGCTCCAACTGCACACCCATGCTGCTCAGAGTGGAGAGCTTCAACCTTCTGCAAGTCCATTAGGTCTTAATTCAATGGCCAGGGGTTTTTTTGGCGTTTTGCATCCTTCTAGGGTTTTTGTTGTTGTTGTTTTTCCATAACTTAAAATAGAAAGGTTAAACCATGCTACTGCTCGCCTAGCACAGACAGGGAGACTTCTCAGGAGCTTGTATGTCAATGGATTTATAAAGACTATTTTATGTACCATGAGCATTACTTGGAGCGGGAATTATGATCAATACTCTGGAATGATATTTTTTCATACACATCCATTACCACTCCTATTTTGGCTGGTTTTGAGCTTCCTGTTAAGGAAATGCTGTTTTACACTGAAACAGCTCATCTGACTAATTAGTCTTTTTCTCCTCCAAGCTTACAAGGATAGAAAATAGCTAAAAATAGCCTACATATTTTATTACTGGTAATTTAAAAGCAGTCAAAAGGATAATTTTTGCTGCTTCTCCCTCCCTTTGTTTGGGATTTTTTTATTTTTACATCTCAAACAATCTAGAGCAGCAAAGTACAACTTATTTCTACGTACATGGCAATCTGTGTATCCAGACGCTGACACCAGCCTTTGCACACTGCTGCACTCTTCACAGGACGTGTGCCCACCAGTCCCGATTCAATCGTGCATAGTCCTAACAAGGACACCTGGGTTGCTGCACATCTCGGCTCACGACCACAGCCCATACAAGCTCTAAAGCTCAACTGCAAGCCAGACGGCACGAATCTGAATGGCTGATGAGAAATGGCAGTTTTCAGCGTTAAAATAGGAAGGGCAAGTCTAGAACACCAATTACAGTAGCCTTGAAATCACAGCATTAGAAGTTGTAGTCGATACTACAAGCAACGGTATTCAACAGTTTCATAGTGACGAAGGAAATTACAGCAGTCATTGCTAGCAAACGCTTCTGTCTCTTGACTTCAGCTATATTCCAAAGACACAGAGCAATAAATCAGGGTCTTGGCTCATAACAGATAGAAAATGTATCATTTCTCCTGGAAAAAAAGGAACCGCACTTTGAATCAGCAGAAGTACTTCTACGATGTATAAAGAAGGAAAATATTAGGAAAATTGTGTGAACAGGGAAGTGGTTTTTTGGATGGTAGAGATGCCTCACTTCATTGATTAGCTGGGATATCAAGAGAATTCGGATTCTGATGTTTATCAGAATGTAGTGGACACGCAGTGGACGCAGACAATGGCAATGCAGCTGTTCAAATAAGCTCAAGGCACTTTGTTTCTTAAATCATTGCCTTTGAGAACAGATCCCATCAACCGCCTCTGGGGCTGCCCTGCTCAGAAACGTCTGCAGTGAAATGTACAGGATTAAGCGTCTCCCTTTGAAAGTTTACACACGTGTCAAAATACGGAGTAGAGCCTTGGGAAGTCTGTTTGAAATGTCTATTGTTGACAAAATTACCACCTAACAGATTAAATGCTTCTCTAATACAGATATACTTTGGACTGCACAATGTTAGCAGACCAGCTTTGGGTAGCGTAATTTTGGTACAAAACACAACTCCCTGCAGGAGCCAGCTGTTGCCATAGAGGGAGGGGAAATCTAAAGGGCCTGTGGGGGGTTATTTGCATAACGGACAGGAGGTGCAACGTAGATCTCACTAGAGGAATTCTGTCAGTTTTTGTCCTTCTTCTGCTCTCTTTGTCACTTTTCAGCCCTCAACTCCAAGCTTTGGTGCTGTACTCTCGAGTGAACGCGCTCATAAAAAAGCAAGTAAGCACTAGAAGAAAGGACTTCCTGCAAACTAGCTTTGCGAACGGTGTCATCCGAAATCCAGAGCCACTGGCTGCTGACAGAGAGGGGGTTCTTGGGAGAAGGCGGAGAGCGGCGGTAAGTCACAAAGTGTCCAGAGTGTATGTCTCCATGATGAACTACAACTGCCATCAGACGGTAAAGGTACACGGGGGAACTGAAGGACAAATGAGAGAAAGGAGACGGTCAGCAGCTCTCGTGGATCACACGCGTGCCAGAAGCAGCCCCACCTGCTTTGTCTTTGGTTGCAATTTCTTTTTAAAGCAAATAGATGGCTCCATAAGACACAGTGCTTTGCAATTACTTCTCAGTATGCCAAGTCTTCACTGCAGTGCCACCTTATTCTATTATCTAGAAAACCAAACCATTTATTTTAAAAGTTTATGCTACAGAGGGCTACTTCATTTTGTACAGCATAACTGATTGTATTTTGCAGCAGCATTTTCCATCATACCTACCAATGTGCCAGGATTTAGTTCTTAAAGCACTGTTATTGGACAGAAGAATGTGCTTTTAACTGAAAAGAGGTAAAATTGCAGCGGGTAACCCACAGACAATGGAAACACTTTCAAGGACCTGATCTACAACTGTCTTCATAAATAACATTTGGCACGAAATGCTTCCAGGCTTCTTATTTCACACAGTGTTTGTGGGAATTGTCTCCCCCATGGGGAAAATATGCAGTGGCAGACAGAAGTGGTACAGAACTAACTAATGGGTCACTGGCGTGAAAATAAGTGAACGTTCTCAAAGGCCAACAAGACAGATTATCAGGAGAAGCATCAAAAATATGCAAAGGCAGAAGTGGTACAGAACTAACTATACACGGGTCACTGGCGTGAAAATAAGTGAACGTTCTCAAAGGCCAACAAGACAGATTATCAGGAGAAGCATCAAGGCTGGTTTATTAAGTAGAATCATGGCAGCTGCAGCTTAAATCAAGCTTGTTAAATATAAAGTTTGAATAAAATCTCTTAAGAGATTTATGGATTTTGTGCAATAGTTTTAAAATCGGAGTAAGAGGAAAAAAAAATGAAGGGGTAGAGGAAAACAGCAAAATAAGATGATGACTATTCAGAACGATGATTTACTGCACCATGAACCAGAGAAAGGAGATCTTGAGTTTTGCTTTCAATATGCTCTGTGTCCTTTTCTAGGAGGGAAATGGAGCCAAAGGCAACCACTAAAAATCAGCCAACAGAAAAGAATTTCAGCACAGGAGCTAGGACAGATGTTAAACACTGACTGAGCAGGTTCATCATAAAGACAGAATAAAGGAAGACATAATTTAAAGGGACAGAAATCACAAGGTAGGGTACAAATCTCTCACTTACCTGCACTCAGGGAATGCAGCAAGTGGAAAAGTTCCCGAGGACATTAAAAATGAAGGGGAGCAGGCACCGTTCATAAAGAGTGGTTTAGTACCAGATGGCGGCTCTGCCTCTGCAAGAGAAAGCAGACGTTCAGTAATTTAACTTAAATGCTACTGTTAGTATTGCTAATAACAGTGTAATCACAGAATATGAAGGTATTTTACTTATTTTAATTCATTACATGTCACAGAATCACAGAATCCCAGAACGTTGGGGATTGGAAGGGACCTCCAAAGCTCATCCAGTCCAATCCCCCTGCCGGAGCAGGAACACCCAGATGAGGTTACACAGGAAGGCGTCCAGGCGGGTTTTGAATGTCTGCAGAGAAGGAGACTCCACAACCTCTCTGGGCAGCCTGGGCCAGTGCTCTGTCACCCTCACTGAGAAGAAGTTTCTTCTCCAATTTCAGTGGAACCTCCTGTGTTCCAGTTTGTGCCCGTTACCCCTTGTCCTATCATTGTTTGTCACGATCCCTTAAGAGAAGTATAATAGCCAAAGACAGTGGTAATTGTTTTTACGTTATAAAAACGTGAAAATGACCACGGTTACAAAATCCCAAATAAACAGAATATTGAGCTGCCTAAACAACAGACCTACTACAGCTGCATTTTCTCATTGCTTTTTAAGAAGTCACCGTTCCCAGCATTCTTTCTATGCTTGTCCTGAAGCCTTGGAAGAGCTCACTAACAAGATAATCCCTAGGGCTTCCTGGGTTCAACATTCCTTCCTCCTTTGGACATAAAACATGTGAGTTCTATGCTATCTGGGATTGTTTTGTTGGTAAGGTTTTGGTTTTTTAAATATTTAGTAATAGCAAATTCTCAAAACTGAACTGTAACAGTTGTCTTGGAACAAGGGTATCCTAATGCTTTGTTGAAAAGGGATTTCTACCCGTCCTCTTTGCACAGGTCCAAATAAAGACATTGCACTTGCATTCCTTCTGCAGATCCAGATGGTTTTATCACTGAAATGTAGAAGTATTTTGAATATTTTGAAAATTTTCTTTTCAAAATAAGTACCTGAAGGTTTTACTGCTATCCCATCCTTTGTCCCAGGCGCTGTCTCTTCGGAGTTTTTCTGATTCAGCTCATTCTGGCTTGATTTATGAACAGGAATGCGGTATTTGTAGATGTCCATGATCAGGAACTCATTGAACTGGACATGTTCGTGACGTTTCAGAGGAGTGCCTTGGTTTGACCAGCTCAGCCTTTGCAGATGGATACACAAACACTGAGGGAGCTTCAGCAATATTCCATAGAAAAGGAGAGTCAAAATACATTTTAAATTATGAATCACATAGAATCACAGAATCGCTCGGTTGGAAAAGCCCTCTGAGATCATCACGTCCAACCGCTCCTGTCTACCCCCTAAACCATATCCTTAAGTACCTCGTCTACCCGCTCTTTAAACACATCCATGAGAAACAGTATTTTGTACAATACATGAGAAACAGTTACTCAAGATAAAAGCATCCTAACAGAACTGGTAAGTCCAGTATAAGGAAACATATCCTTGAACTGGTCCCCTATGTGCTACTGTATCTGTGTGTAAGCTTATTGGCAATAGTATCCCTAAGGCATGGCACTACTCACAGCTCTCTTGAGATTTCTGCTAATGCCACTACTCACTCACCAGGCCACAGGATCGCTAATGTTTACTGATTTTTTTTGTTCCATTTGGAGTAAACAGTTAAAATGCATGTGTGTTCCTAAAAAGCCCACCGGTCCATCTCATCTAGCTTGTTGATCTGTGAGGTGGAAATGAGGACTGGAATTTATTGGAGTATGTTGTTGTGAGACATTTGCTAATACTTGATAAGTAATGGCTTTGCACAGGGGGAAAAAAGGTCAAGTATTATAAATAACTGACATTCAAAGTCACTCCAGGGTTAACTGCTATCAGTATTATCATTAATGGCACCTGAGGCTTTTAATTACAGACCAGTGCCCTGTTGTCCCCTGCATTATTATGATGACAGAGCAAAAAATATTAAGAGCTGCTCGTATAAATTGCACCTGAGGTTTAGCACCATATTCACTTCTTTGAAGCAGCTGTATTTAGAATCACAGAATCACAGAACGTTAGGGATTGGAAGGGACCTCCAAAGCTCATCCAGTCCAATCCCCCTGCCGGAGCAGGAACACCCAGATGAGGTTACACAGGAAGGCGTCCAGGCGGGTTTTGAATGTCTGCAGAGAAGGAGACTCCACAACCTCTCTGGGCAGCCTGGGCCAGGGCTCTGTCACCCTCACTGAGAAGAAGTTTCTTCTCCAATTGAAGTGGAACCTCCTGTGTTCCAGTTTGTGTCCGTTACCCCTTGTCCTATCATTGTTTGTCACCGAGAAGAGCCTGGCTCCATCCTCGTGACACTCACCCTTTAAATATTTATAAACATTTTAATTTCTTTGAAATGTGCAATTGCTAGAGATACTGCAAACATCTGTGTATGTGAATCACTTCACTTACCAAGGAAATCAAGAATTAATGCAATACACACGAATTGCCACTGAGCCAAACTCATGTTTAAGTGTTTTGCTGAATAACAGTAGAATACTCACATCCTTTAAACTATTCTTTAAACTTTGATGTTTTGCTGAATTGAGGCCTCAGTGCCTACAAATACTTGATAAATGAGCTTACTTTTTAAAAGTAAAACATTAAAGTAGTCTAATAGCAAGAAGTGGGCATCAAGCAAAGAGATCAAAGAAAGATATTGCTCTATAAAAGGATTTGAAAATAGATTTGGAGGGTTAGCTTGCCTCACCTTTCCTAATTTTAATTGCTTAATGAATGTTGTTCTCTGGTTTTCTATGCACTGTCCATTCAGAGTCCCTTCTGCCTGAATCTGAAATCAAAGGGAAAAAATAAAAGTCATTTGATTAACCTGCTGTACCAGATCACACAAAATAGTGCAGGTCTGCACACTGCAGACAAAAGCAACTGTCATTCTAGAACTATGCTCAGTACATTAATTATCTAAACAATACCTGGTAACTACAGAACAAAATCTTTGTACATTTTGTAATATCAGTAATAAAAGCTTCAAAATATCTTGTGAGATAAGATCTCCATTTTAAATGTAAGAAATCCCAGGCAGGCCAGAGACTTTGCTTAAGTCACAAAGAAAGAAGTAGAAAACTGAAACCATAATTCTGTCAGCAGGCTTCAAACTGAGCTAGAAGGTTATATAAATTCCAGTGACATACTTTAGTGCAGTTGTCACACACAACGTCCTTCACAGATTCAGAGGAGATGAAATGGTGGAGGCAGTGGTCCAGCGTCATAGGACGACCCTTAGTACAAGAAAACCCAAAATTATTTGCAGCAATGTTAGGGTGCACACCACTTATTTTTGTGAAAGGACTGTTCATAATTTCTTCCATAGAAACTACAGAATTGCAATTATTTTGTGAGAAAACTGACTAAATGGCTTTGAGTATAGAACATAATGTAACTATGGGGTTTTTCCCTCAGCCTGGATTAAACATGGAGAACATCACAGCCTGTAGGTAAGAGCAACAGCTATGACTCCCAGTGTGACTCCTTTAGTGGGGTTTTAAACCACACATTCCTGGCCCTGTTACTGTTTTTCCTTGAAAGTTTTGTCATTCAGATTTTTTCAGAAAGAAACAGAAACAACTTCCAGTTGAAATCACTTGATCCAAAAGCCCGCATTGGGTAACTTGTGAACTATCACCACAGAGCCAGAGCACCCGAAGGTCACCTCCCAGGACTGCCAGAAACACACAGCCCTCAGGATATGATCTGGTCTGTTCAAATCACACAGAAAGGAGCAAATATTCCACCAGGAGAAACAAAAAACTCTACTGGTGTCAACAAAGTCGTGCTTGTTGTACTAACTGGTAATCTGCACCAGTGATGAGGTACTGTATTAGCACAACAGGGTAATTAAGAAAGATAAAAAAATAACCTGGAGCTACTCATTTACATTTAGACTGTAGCACCATAAACAGGACTAGTGAAAATAAAGCTAGGACAAGAAGGCAGCGGGCAGAGTGCCTGGATCTGGCGTCTGGGAGGGATACGTACCCACATAGCCGCTGGAATACTCAGCGAGAGACTGTCAAAGGTATCGTACCTCACAGGACTCTGCAAGAAAATATTTCACATATCCAGTGAGCTAAAATCTATGACAGTCTGAAACAAAAAGAACCAACCCCACACAAGATGAACGTATGCCCTGTGCTGTCCCACTCTGGTGGAACAGGCTCAAAACCACCCCATTTCCCAAGTGTGGTGCCCGGGAACACCTGATGCAGTACACAAGGTCCTACTTAACCTGTTTCTGCTGAGGCTGCCCCTGCTCACTAAAATTTATATGCAAGTTTTTGAAAAGGAAAGTGTTAAATGTACTCTTACAGTTTGATCTACAAATAAGATTTACTTCCCGTATTTTTTCTGTATCCAGGTTATTTTCCTCGCTCTGGATAACTGGACTGCAACTTAATTTGGCTGTGCATGTGCAATCTCAAAACTGCGTGCTAAGTGAATAGCTCACCCTAAAATGCTACCCATGTGAGTCGATTTTCAGTATATGACAGCTATCATCCCCACAAAGTGGATCACGCTTAATTTTCTTCAGTATATTTAGTGATAGACTCTTGTTCACCAATGCCTTAATAAATACTTGACAAAGCTACAGGCCAAGCTGTCAGTCCTGCAGACCTTCAGAGCTTAAACCAGCTATGTCAGAAATGTGGGATGGTGGATACAGAACGCACTTCGAGGGTCGGGCATCCTTTTTCACATACACACATTACCAGACACACTTTCTTATACCTGGTGTTCACAGTGTTTGCAAACCATGTTGCTGGTCAGCCTGCCATGAAAAGGATGCTGAGACTTCCAGTGACTCGACATAGGGGGAAGAGACCCTGAAACACAAGGTTGAAATTGTCCTTTTAGTTTCAATACATCCATGCTCATCGCTGTAATTCCACATTTCTGGCCCACAGTAGCAAAAGTAACTAAGCCAAAATATGTTCTGTCCCACTGACATAATTAATGTGGAGGTTTTTTAATAGCTGAAGAGCTGTATTTCAGTCCAATACAAAGCTCAGTTGGTATTATCCCCTTAATAAACACAGCAACTACAATATGACTTGAATAATCGTATTTCAGAATGGAAAAAAGCGTACCTCTTGTTCTGCAGCTGATTTGCTTTTGGGTTATTTCTGGCTGCTACAGAGGAAGATAAAAGGATTTCATTAACCCCACCTTAGAAACCATTAAGTATTAAATAAGTTCTTGTATCATCCCTAATGTGCTTTCCTGGCATTAGAACCATTATGGTAGTTGTAGTGTCTCTTTATATTTGAGGAAGGCCAAAGAACCTGGGATGCAACAAATTTATAAGTGCCAAAATGAAGACTTCTAATAAAATGAATAATTAACCTTCAGAAATCTCTGCCTCAGAGTACTGAAATAAAAGCTTAATGGATTTTATAAACCTTTTGTAATATTTTAGATAAAAAGAGGTAGAAACTTTCCATCTGCATTAAGTTTACCAGTAAACTGAAGATACAATAATTTCACCTCCAGACGGACTGTTCCGTTTTGCACTTCTCAAACCTCTTCCATGTGTCAGCTCTTACAGATAAGAGCAACTGCCCAGATGGCCGTTACTGCTGCTCCATGCTAGTATTTCAGTCCCTGTATTCGATGGATTTAGGGATGCCAAAGCCCTCATGAAAGTGGGATCATTGTAAATTGAAACAAATTCGCTTACAAAAAAACATTTTTTATTCTTTAGATTGCCTGGCCTGTTGATTCATTTCTCTCAGAGTACTGAAAACAGCTTTGTAAACAAAATGACAGTATCTTCAGTTTCGAAACAGACACTTTATACTTGACACACTTAGGAATCTAGGCAGACTACGGGAACTTCTGATAATGAAGTAATACTGGTAAAGAAGTCACCTCCAGCGAATGCACATCGAACAGATGTGTCACACGTGGCTGACGATCTCGTTCATCTTCTAATGAAGAGGTAAGGACATGAAATAGTTCATGAGCATCCTGTTAAAACAGAGGTGTAAGACTTAGAGGAAGCGAAAACACCACAGGAGTATAGATACAGATATGACTGCCTCATTGCAGTGAGAAATTAAAGCAAAAATTACTGCTTAGAGCCCACCTTATGCGTTAATAGAAATAATCTGATGCACTTTGGCCAAAAAGCTTTCTCTATAAAGCTGAACTTCGTAACAGCACACATTATTAAAAACATTCTGGACCACATAAATGCAAAAGAAACTACAATACTTGGAGGAAAAAAGAAAAACGAATGCACAAATGCCTGCTTTCTGTGATTTCAATAAAAGCGTAATTGAAATCTCTGCTGTTTGCTTTGGCTTTCAAATATAAAAGCTAGAACCATATTTTATGAGTGAGATAATTGATCGAGTTCGTTGGCCAGCTGCACTTAGGGGGCTGAAAATACTGAAAATGAGAATTAGGAATCTTGTGTGTTACATGTTAGTGAAGTAGAGTCCATCCCTCAAAGCAGTGCGGCACGCTAGCACAGACCTGTGATCTATAGCAGAGTTAGGGCTGTATCTGCTTGTTTTAATATTACTGGCTCTACTGTACCAAATCTGAAAGTAATTCATTATGAGGTTTTGAAGCAGCCAGGGTTTCCATGGCAAATATCTAAGCAAACTGAAAACAACTTCAATCACATGGTTGTTTTCCTTCACTTTTTAAAGCAAACTTTGCTACAGCAACGATTCAGATTTGACACTCAGGGCTATTTGTACATAGCTTCAGTTTTCCATTACTCCATATCTAAGTGCTGTGTATCAGGCAGTCTGACATGAATTCTGTAATCACCTGCTCTTCAAAGGATGAGATCTGCCACCTGTACATCCTTAAAACTTCTAACAGGCAGCTTGCATCCAGGACGTCATCTTCTGTCACCTCTTGACAGGACAAAGCTAGAGACGTTGCATTTTAAAATGTTAGAAGGAGCCACAAGAAACAGTTAGAACTCAAATCTGTTTATTTTAGACTGTATGTTACTTAAGCATCATATAATTAAGTACAGCAGAGTTATTCTTGATTAAGACAGGTAGACAATGACAATCAAACCAGTACATATTCACTGCCATTCTCAGCTGGCTCAGGCTGACTGCAGACATTCTCCTCATCTAACACGTACGCAAAGGGAAAGGTTTCTCAACTGATACAGAGAAAATAAATAATATAAACACTGTCTGGAAAGACAGATTTGTACTGGTGGATTGGGTAAAAAATCAGTACTTTACACATCACAGAAACCCTGGTATTAAAAGCCCCATCATCCTGGCATGAGTTACATGTACATGCTTAAGTGGCACAATTTTTTTATGAATAACATCTTGAGACAGGAAAAGTCCTGATGGATTTCCTTTTAAACAAAGACCTGTGAGGAAAGCCAGGGAGAGCCAACAGATGGTGGCTTAAACATTTTGAGTGCTTAAATAGGATGTAACTGATGCATAGATTTAGGACAGGGGCAAGTTTAAAACTGGTTACCAAATTGGGCTTAGAGGCTTTAACATTTGTACCCAACATCATGCAAAGTATCTCATTTAATGGTCTGTATTTTTGGTAAAATAGTAAGCTTGTAAAAAATGTTTAAATTATTGCATAATGCATTGATTTTCTTTTCTGTAAAATCCTGAGTGCCCATCTAATTGTGATAATATTTTCCTATTACTTCAATTTTACTGAGTCCGTTTTCATGCTGATTTAACCATGAATACTCT